CCTCCCGGTCCTCCCGATGGCCTGCCTATTACATACAGTGGCAATGTCTCAAGATTTAGCAAAATACACCTTTTTGAACATACAGTAACACAAATACTACAAATCCACATACTAAACAATCAAAAAAGGGTCGGTACTTATTATTATTTATAAAAATAAAAAAAAACGTATCATTATTTATAAAAAAAAAACAACCTATACCATACCTGGCTGGCGCCCCCTAGCAGCGGCGCGCAATTTTTCAGCAGCGGGGCAGCGCCGCCCTATTTGTATATAGGGGAAACACTGACGTAACTCTGGATTTGTTTTAATGTTTGAGGTGCAATAAACGACACGGCAGCTTTTTGGCATGTTAAAACTAATATTTTCTGCCTCGCTCATGAGAGTAACAGCTGGCGAAATTACAACCTTGCCTACTGATTTTAATTTAACCATATATCGAGCCCGATTTCAAATGTGTGCTCTAAAAAGATATTTATAAATGACTATTATCATTATTATAAGCAAGACAATAAATGGCACAGAGCTTGTTAACTTGTGGGTAGTGTAGTCTCTTTGGCGCTCCACATTTCAGAGAAGCTGTTTCTCAGAATTGAAGGGGAAAAACACAAAAGCATTGTACACAATTTAAACCTATCAATGTCGTTTAATTAACAAGGATAATCTGGTGTTTTTGAGTTGATGAGTAGTGGAGATATCACTGTCAAATCAATCGACAGAAAGAAGAATACTTATTTCCGGGTGTACAATTCTCCGTTATCCAATGGGAATGGACGCTCACATAGCCTTTAAGAGCTGCCGACATAAATGGATGTGGTGCTTCCCTAATCGTCAAATACCGCCGCCGATGGGAATACATTGCAATCAGTTGAAAGCTCTTTGCGTCCGTTTATGAAGCTGAAGGAGCCTCGGCGCGTTACAAATGGACGCCATAGGACCCTGACCAAGCGTCGCTCCTGGACGCTTAGGGAGTGAGAGTGTGTTGTGATAGACAGTTCAGCTTACAGTAAACCTGCAGTTTAATAACAGTTATTTGTTTCTATTGTTGTCCCATGGCCCTGTGTCCCTCTTTAGTATTTTTATGGAGGATTTAACATTTGGCTCAGCACAAAAAGCCCCGTCATAAGGAAGACATAAAAAAGATAAAGCAAGTGTCAGGAAAGAAAACACTGATGCTAGTGTGTGTGTGTGTGTGTGTGTGTGTGTGTGTGTGTGTGTGTGTGTGTGTGTGTGTGTGTGTGTGTGTGTGTGTGGCAGTGTATTGAGTGCTGGTAAGAGAAAAGCCCCTCTGATTTACCCGGCAAAAGCCATTTATGTGAGGATTACTCTCCCTGGGCAAGTCAGCCCGGAACACTGCTGCACATCTAATTATTTAATTAGAGAGGCCGCCACACTGTGGGGGGCTGGGGGCAGAGGGGGGGTAAAGGTGGGGAAGGAGGAAAGCGGGGACACTGATTGGGTGAAGCTGCAGGGCCTGCCATGGTGCCCAGACACTCTCATTACTGCAGCAATTAGCACTTAAGTTGGAGCTGTACACCCTATCAGAGCAGAGTGATGGGGATCCTGGAGGATTCTGGGAGCACAGCGGCAGGACGTCACCGATAATGGTGTGTGTGAGAGTGTGTGTGTGTGATCTGCATGCACTAAGTGTAGCAATTAATTCTGAAGAAATGTTTTTGCTGAATATTTCCCCCGTTATTTCTGTCCCCAAAATACATATTTCAGCAATATAATGACATATTTCCATCGGTGTGATGATATTTGTAATCTCACCTGGGCGATCTGACTGGATTGAAGCTCTTGGCCAACAATGGCAGCGAAAACACTTTCCTTCCCGTTGCAGGCAGTGATCAGCTCAGGAAGTCCTTCGATCTGCCCGCTGGGCCCCCCCCCACTGCTCCTTCCCTTCTTGTTTGCCCATTTGCTGTGAGTAAGAGAGGGAGAGGAGATTTGTTGTACATGAAGCAGACTCAAAACAGACCCGACATGATTCACGCTGCCTCAGGAAAGGGACTGCAGGTCTTACTTTCTCATCTCTCTCATTGTTATTGTTTGCACAACATTATTTAACAAGGTAGGGTGCAGGCCTGGACATCCTTATAGTGTGTGCATGGAAAAACGTACACTGTGGGCTTTACAAATATATGTATAAATGAGTGTGTGTGTGTGTGTGTGTGTGTGTGTGTGTGTGTTTTTACCTGTGCAGGAGGTTTTAATGTAAATGCTGGTGTTTGATCAGTTTCATACTTGGGCGTGTGGATGGTCATATTACCGTAATTTTCGGACTATAAGGCGCACCTGAATATAAGCCGCAGCAGCTAAATTGAATGATGTGTACATATATAAGCCGCACTGGATTATAAGCCGCAGGTGTTTTAATGTTTAATTACCATATGTAAGGGTTCGTGCAGAGGGGATTGTCGGGAAAGAGATGGCTGTTTGAGGAAGCTCCCATTTATTAACATTTCAACAAACAAGTTGCATATTTGCATCACGTATTCAAGTGTTAGCATTTAGTGCAATAGTAGCTACAGAACATGTACTGTGCTGTGTAAACTGTACTGTATCACATAGCGTTTCAGACACAAACTTTTCAACTTTCTGTCTGTCTGTCTGTCTGTCTGTCTGTCTGTCTGTCTGTCTGTCTGTCTTGCTCTCGTTCTGTCTCTCGTACCACTCTCGGTTCCACTTTTACTTTTGCGCGCTACCTGTCTCACTCTTTTCCGGCCTCCAGCTTTTCCTGCTGGAGCCCGCCGCTTAAAGCTGGGGGGCGCAGACCGGCCATAGAGCCCATAGAGTTAAAGGTGGTGGACTGTAACCTGTAAAATCCATAGATTTAGGAGGTCCCCTAGTGGCCGTTAGCTGTAAAAATCCATAGATTTGCCGCACCGTTATATAAGCCGCAGGGTCGAAAAATGGGGAAAAAGGCGCGGCTTATAGTCCGAAAATTATTATATTTCTATGTTTCTTTCCGTGTGTCCAAAACTAAGACAGTTAGGTCCAGGTATGGAGAGAACGTTAACACAAAAAGCTAAATGTTTAATGTCAGTTCTTATATAGTAAGCCGGTCTATTCTCCTGCATGTGTTTGATATTTGAACCAGAGCAAACAGTCACCACCCACTACAAAGTGAAAGCCTACAACCTGCATGTTTTCCATGTTGCCATTAGAGATGTTGGATGAGAGATTAGTTAGCAAAAGAGTTAAGCATTTATTGGTATGTTTTACTATGAATCAGATCCAAAAGGGATTCAACCATCTGTCCCAGCCCTTGAGGTATTACTTCACAAATTATTCACAAAAATACAAGAAGCAGGGGAAGTCAGCAGCTATCTGCTTTGGAAATGTGATACAATTTAATAAAACAATCATTTGGATTCATTTGAAAGTTGGGAGGCAGCTCTAATGTGTTTCTTGGTGCACCATAATCAGAGAGAAGTTGCAATTTAAAAAAATGTTTAAGAGGAAATACGAGGTGCATTGATTCTTAGAACTATTTAGAATCTTCATCCTATGGCTTCTTGTTGATGATAGAGATCACGCTGCTGCCAGTCTTAGTGTTGACTCTAAAGTAACTGGATCTTTGTTATTGACTGCGTTTTGGTATTATTATTTCATTTTTTCTAAAACTATTTTAAATCGGTTTTGTTTGACATCCGGCTTCATATCAGGTCTAATTAGTTGCAAGGTAAATATCTGCGTGCAAGTTTTGGTTGTGTTTTCATTGATCTGGTTTGGAATCATGTCGAAAAAACTCTCAGCAATTACTCACACATTTCCACTAACACATGGTTTGACTGATTTTTTTTTATGGGAAGAAGCAACTATCTGCGTTCTTCTCCACATCTTACACACCAATTATCTTTTATAGCCCGAGAATCGCCTTTACTATTTTTCTCTAGTGGTTTTGCAGTTTTGCTTTGGTTTCTTTCACCAGCCTCGACAGCAGTACTGTTATAGTTTTGAGTTTGTGATTCTGTGTATCATCAAGAAGACAGAAGTGTACCACAGAGAAGCTTCAGAGAACTCTGCCAGCTGTTTATATTTCTCTCTGTCAGCCTCAAGACAAATATTGTTACCATCATAGCAACACTGTGCAAGACGCAGTCACAAAAACGTTCAGGTAAAATGTAGGCTGAGTTTGAAACTTGATATGGTCCGAGCATGGGGGGGCCACAAGAATATTGTCCCCTGCTCAACCTCCTCATTTTATGCCCATGGCTGCATTTACTTCAGAAAACGTTATAGATGTGCAGGTGAGATCAGAACACTTTTATTCTCTCTGGTTTCAGAGGAACTAAAGGATTACCTGCTCGGAGACGGTGCCGTCAATAAGATCTTCACCCTGGGCAACAGCGAGTTCCCTGTCAGCTGGGAAAACGAGATCAAGATGTGGACTTTCCTGGAGACCAGGGCTGCTCTCCTGCTCAAGACCTACAAGACCACCTCACAGGTCAGTGGACTTGTGTCTAAGTCTTGTTGAAAGCTGTCACAGACGAGGTGTCAAGGGTTCAAGTATGGTTCAAACCAAATGGATTGTCCGAGGGCTCAAAACAGAGCGATACCTCTGAATGGCCACTGACACGTTAGGTAGAATGATAATTCCTTGTAAGATTCTGCCCCCACATCCTGAGGTCATAAAGATTTGGCGAGAGCTTTTACCAAGGTCCGACAAGCACTTAGGAAGTGAATATTTGAAGTTAAAACAAAAAATGTTTAACGTCCTATGATGTATTGTCATCTTCACATTCTTCTTTCTCCCCCTTTTCCTTATTACCTCCTGGTCGTGTCTCCTCTAGGAGGACAGCTCCATGCTTGAGAAAGCAGATCTATCCCTCAATTCTCGCGTGGCAGTCCAGCTCAGCTTGGCTGAAAAGCAAATCCTGGAGAAGGCTTCGGCCAGTGGCCGGGCCAAGCGTTTGCACTTTGAGAAGAAGCTAGAGGAGGGAGCTCGGTTGCCTCGATATGAGGAAAGCGATATCGCTTTGCTGGAGAATTCTGATGCAGATTCAAAGCTTCCGATCATTCTACGAAAGTTGGAGGAGGTAGAAGAAGGCCAGGAGATCCAAGTGGAGGAGCACAGTCACTTCCTGAACGGGGACAAGGTTGCCGCTGGTTTTGATCAAGAGGCTAATGGAGGGCTGACACTGGAGGGGATCAGTGGAGATGTTGATTCAGCTTTGGACTCGATTGGAAGTTCAACTCAGAAGGGCCAAAAGGAAGTAGCAAACCTAAGTGCCAGTTGAACTGATGATAGTCCCAAAAAACAACTGTGAATAAATGTATTTCACTTACTGCCACAGCCCATGCTATTTATATTTTTTTTGTGTCTCTTAAATGACTCTGAAATATTAAAGCTGAAAAAATGCAAAGCTGCAGAACTTTTCAGATTGCACGTTCATCCAGCGTGGCTTTTCTTCGTTTTTTTAAATGCTGCCGGTGTGTCCCTGTGTGCAGAACAGCTTGTAACTAGTGTTAGACCTGCGCACATGAAGCAAGTGAAGGATAGACACCACAAACTGGTTCCAGCACATTGTTAGGTGAGAGAAAATAATAAAAGGAGTTAGGTGAATGTTATTTCCACAAAGCCAAAATGTCTCTAATCTTCTGAATTGGTTGGTTTATTACTGCAGTTTGTCTCCATAAATGTCCTGTATGCTTTGATTTGACAATCGTTTTCTCCGGGGCTTTTTGTGCTACTGAGTTAAGACCATCACTGCCCTCTGCTCCTTTTATCCTGCTTAAAATTATTTCAAGCAAAACATACATGCATACGTCTGAGAACAATTGTTTTAATTGATGGTAGTTGTTATGGTATGATATGCCAAAATGGAAGATGGTTTTTGCTTGATTTCTTCTTCTTTTTTTACCATCAAAATGTTAATTTCAGTAATTATGTAGTTTCAGTATTCAAGAATTTTGTTTTATTGTGTGTTTTTAAGAAGTTTCTTTATGAGTGTACTTGGTGTATGTTGCAGTGATGATCTGCTGATGTCACCAGAAGGGATTGATGGGTGTGACTCGCTGAGACAGCAGAGGACAGATTATAGAGGTCTCCTGTTGAAAAATGTTAGTTTGACTGCCATAAAATGAGGCAATTTCTACATGAAAAACTTTGTATGAAAGACACGGACGCACTCCGTCAGTAGATTATGTCGCTCTGTAGTTGGTGTTATCTGCAGGGATGGCCCCAAAAACTCAAAAATAAAGACAATAACTTACTAATGGCGCATTTCCACTGCAGGGCCTCGCACGGCTTAGTACGGTATAGTTAGGCCTTGGCAGTGTTGTGTACTGAAAACCAGTAACTAGTTACCATTACTAGTTACTTCATTTCAAAAGTAACTCAGTTACTTTACTGATTTCTTACACCAAAAAGTTCTAAGTAACTAATGCGTTACTATGAACAGTAACGCATTAGTTACTTAAAAAAAGGGCTCCCATTAATGCCCTTATAGCCTTCATTTCAGTACTGTTATTGCATTGGAGAATAATACAATCTGTTGACCAAGAAATAGCAATAGAAATAGTAGAAATAGCCTTCATGTGTTCTCCAACATACCGTGCAATGGCTTTATCAACTTTTCCCTGGCTAGCAGTCCCTCGGTTAAAATCCAGCCGCTGTTGCTTAGGTGGAGGTGGAGTGGCGTCGGATGAGTCTGGGTCTGTGGTCTTAGCTACTAGCTTCGTCCCAGCATGTTGTTTCTGCAGATGTTTTCAACAGATTTTTTGAATTGCTGTTTGGGCAGTAGATAGGGAAATCTTTTGACGCGCCAAGACATCAACCTTACATGTAACTAAAACGTTCTTTTCTTTGTGCTTTGAACAAAAAGTGAAATAGTGAGAATTATCTCCAGGTGGAGAAAACTCGACTTTGACGCCGCGGCCGCTCATGAATATCCTTGTTATGTAACACCAAACCGCAAAAGCGCATCTCTTGCAATGTGGAACACAGGAAGTATTTAAGTAGCATTTTACTCAAGTTAATGTACTTAAGTACAGTTTCTCATCTCTGTTTCGGCCTCGCTGTTTGGCGCACTTCACTCAACCTGCTGGGAGGCCGAGACTATATAAAAAAAAATATAACGGAGTAACGCACCATGTAGTAAAACGGTAAACTAGTTACTGAATTCCAAAAAATATGCGTTGTAGGGACAGGGGGTTCCCAAACTTTTGGCCATGGCCAAGGACCTCCCATATAGCATTAATCTCTGCCGGGGACCCCTGTTGGCAATAATTTTTTTTTTAAATGATGTGTACAAGTGCCTCCCGATGAACATGCAGTGCGTTCCACTACAATTTGGGGCCTTCTGCCTGAATCGAAGCTTCACTCCGCTTTTCTTTGCCTTGTCATAAGCCCCACTGCCCCATCTTGGAACACACACCCACACAAACGAGACCAGCAGTTTCAAGTCCGTTTTTTGAAGATTGAATGTAGCTCATCTTAAAAACTTGGAAAAATTGTTTCTTCATGTCTCCTACCTTCCAGTGCTTTGCAAAATTTAATCCTTTCATCAACAAAGTTTTGTCTTCTTTGAATAAATCTTGATTTTGTAGCAAAGGGCCAAATTCTTGAGACATTTTTGGCTTACATTCCGTGCTCTCATCCAGCTTGGCAGAGCGAAACATTCAGGCTTTCGCTCTCAAACTTGCTCGCAAAACTGAGCAAAATTTTCACTCTTCAGTAGCGGCAGCTCGATTCTGATTGGCTTTTTGAAGGGCGGTCGTTGTGATTCAATAAACAAAAATAATGAAAAACATTGGGCAATCAAGGAACACATAGATTGATAGCGTATGCAGTTTATTAATAACATTGCTAAAAAAAATAAATTCCCTTTTCCCTCACTTTTTTTTGAGTGACCCCCCTGGCGGCCCCCAAACCTTTTGAAAAAAACCACCTGCGTTTTTAGAGTACTAGTTACTGGCCAAAAATAACGGCGTTTACAGTAACAAATGGCCTTTGGTTAGGCCAGGCTTTGACTTTATGCTGGCGTTTTTCCTTCAACAGTTTTTTTAGGAAGCTGGGCAGTTACTATTAGTAAAACGCAGTGTTAGGCGACCGTGACGTCAAATCTTCAATCGAACCAAACAAAAACCACATCAGCCGTTACCTTGTTAGCGCCTTCGAAGAGCTCCAGCAAGCTCGTCATACCTTGTTCAGAACTGGACAAATTTTAAACAGTAGCAAACCACAGACTGTCTGTGTCATGGAGAATAACATCGTGCGCTGGTTATTTTAATAGTCTTGTATACCGTTGTTTGTTGGAGTGTTGGGGACGGCCCGGAGCCTATATACGTTGGCTTAGCGCGATTCCTTTCAGAAAACACGCATTTCAAAAAGGTTTTTTTGCGCCTGCCGTCTGTCTGCAGACTTGTTCAAGCATTAATTTCAAATGGTTTTTTTTAGCTAACCGGTATGCAGTTTATGTTTTTTTTTAACTTTCGGCCATCAATTTTTTTGAAAACGTGTATTAAATTAAATCAGCGGTAAAAAATATGTTTTTCATTGTGTTTTGTAGTTTTGGTAAAGCCCACTTGCAAGCTCACTAGTTTAGCAATTCAGGCTCGGTTTTGGCCCAGAAAAGACCATGATTTTTTGGAGGGCCAGAAAACTTTTGTTGAAAAGTAACGCCGTTTAGCCGGAAACTAGCCGCCTTAGTGGAAACGCAAGCAAAAAACGGGTTTTCGGGTTTTTTTGGGAACCGGCACAA